CCAAAACATGGCACAAATCCATGAATGCACTGACAAGTGAATTGAGTCATGTTGGTAAGTGCAGGCTACCTGGTCGGGGTCTGCGAGATGACTGTTAGTTATTTTCATAACTAATTGTAGTTATGTCATAACTAACCAATCAAATTGTGGTTTAAGCGCCCACCACGTGATCTGATCTGACGTGTCTGTAAACTTTCTTTGTTGTAAATGACCTACTAATTGAAGGACACTATTATCTTATTATATTGATGTGACTCATAGTTTTATTCATTTCCATAAGACACGCTATATTGGTCGGTACATTTGCTCGTTTCACTTGATAACTGTAATTTCCTTATTTATTGTACTAATCTAATTGTTTTTATGTTTAGAAACAGATAAAGTTTAAAGCAACAGTTGATCGTGTTATAACTATAGCTTTCCATAGACTCTGTGCTCGCCAATATTGCGTTTACAGTTCTAGAGGTTCATCTGTAAGACAGATTAAATCCTACAATGAAAGTCACCCTATTCTTAGAGACCTTGAATGACATGGCTCAAAATCGCTTGCGATGGCGCAGGTGCATCCATTCGTTATGTTTTCTCAAATCCTAATCTTCTGAATTCCTTATCATCTCTATCTTTCTCTTTCTAAAACTTATCTCACTAAATTTTTTACTTCTTAAATAATTTCTTCGAGCCCTAATCTTCTCCATTACCGCTAATATGTCTACTATCTCTACTACGATGGGATTTGAATTGACAATCGCATCTCTGTGCTACGTGGTATGAAACCTTAACTGATGTACTTACGTGCGAAGTTCTGCGTTGGAACTGACTGATTGACTCATTTCAGTTAGGACGTGATTACTGCGTACATTCATCATCATATTTTATTACTTACAGTAATTGTTGAATACAAAACAGTCAATTCATTAGATATAATTTTTTCTACATATTTTCTTTCATTTAGGTTTACTATCGAAAGAAACGTCGTATTAGGGAAGAAGTTGGTGAGGATAGTATTCAAAAAAGAGATCGTAAAGGTTCTGTTACATTTTTGTCCAATGGAAATTCCATTACTTACGGTAACGGAGGTTCAGCCCCCTCATGTCAACATGGCTCTACTGGTAGTTTAACAGGAGTGAATGTTGCATCTGTAACGAATACAGCTGCATTAACATGCTACTATCATCATCATTATCATCATCACCATCATCATCATTGTGTGGCACCACAATCCACATTGTCATCACAAGTTCCTATGTTGCCTCCACATCGATGTGGTATTGGTTGTACTACTACCACTACTACTACTAATAATAATAACAATCTTGTAGCAGGCTCTACTTGTACATCTTCTACAGAATCACAAACACGTTCATCCGGAGTCAATGGAATAATCCAGTCACGACATCAAGGACCTCCGCTTGTTCAAATGAAACATCATCATCATCCAACTGTTTCTTCATTCTAATCAACATTCTATTTCTAAAAATCTAATTCCTTCACATCTCTCTCATCATTCTCAACAACAACAGCAACAACATATCTATGATCAAGGTAAATTTTCGTTTAAAATATTTGATGGTTTCACTTGCTCCCATATATTTTACAGTATGTTGGAAATAATGTACACACATTCATTCTGTCAATTCCTCTAGAGAGATCATGTTGTTTGAATTGGGTTTTAATGTATGAAGTAGTTTTCTCAATCCTTTATATTATGTCTGATCTAGTAGGATATTTCATTTTAAGGCATTTATTGAAATCATTTCACATCGTAAATGAGCATGTAAGGTGAATTTCTACTGTGCGTTGGTTAAGACCCGTGTGTTTACGTATGCCTAATCACCGTCTATATCATCTCAATGTGTGCGGTGCTTACTAGTACAAAATTAGGTTGAAGGAGAACTATTGGGAACCGAATCTAAACGTAGCATCAGTTCATGAAGTTATTGTCGATTGGGATGACTGATCCATGTTGATAGATGCACAACACTACTGGTGTAGTGAACGAGAACACCGGTGGGGCAACCGAATTGTATTGAACGAAAAATTACAGAGTAGTTACTCAGTAAAATAGGAAAACCATTTCGTAAGTCGGTAATTTGCAAAATATCAGTCCATCATCTCGAACTGGACTGTTCCTGTTGCAAACCATCAACCAATTGTCACTATTCATGCGTTTCATACAAATTCCATTGTGTTCCCACTCTTCCTTTCTTGATCTTCCCCCATCTTCTGCCAGACATTACGTTGACACTCACGTCATTTACCACTTATAAGTAGCTCGCACGACACTTGGGAATTTAGGTAATGTGATTCACAATCATCTACAGTAACGCAAATGTATATTACTGTTTATCTTTCAATCGTTCGTAAATTCCAATATCCCATTATTCATGTCCTCTTCACTCGTCCTTTAAAATCATCTTTCCAAGATTATCATTGCTATGACATTATTTTGATCCGTTTTGTTATTTTGATCTCATGATGTGTGGCATGGCAAATTTGAGCTTCGAATATCTATGCAAGATTAAATGTTGATGATATCTGCTTGTGTGATTTAACTTAGTAATACATGACTCATCCTTATAGTCATTGTTGAAGGAAATAATGAAACTATCGGATGGTTAACACTATGGTAGAGTGGGTTCAATCCCACAGCTTTATTGTTAACTTTTGTACTAATAAACTATGCATGCATTTATTTTTCATCAAACCATCATCCGTTTGTGTTTCAGCACGGATACAGAAGGCTCCATTGTCTTTCGCCAACTTGCGTCACCTATAGCGTAGACGAGATATACGTCTGCTAACCAAAGGACCAGTCTACTGCTCAGGCCGTTCTCTCTGTACTACTTTATAGCTGCGAAAGCATGACCAGGTCAGAGTAGAAGATATTCCGTAGGTTACTAGTGTTAGATCATAGGTGTCTTAGAAGCATTGCCCGTGTATCCTGGGACAACCGACTAAGCAGCGGTGTTTGTTAGGAAACGAGTGCTAGGTAAGAATGGCATATCAATTGATGAAGTCTTGAAACTTCATCATTTGAGGTGGTTGGGACATGTGTTTCGTATGCCCGACCATCTACTACCTCGGCGAGCTGTTTTGAGGTGTAGGAGTAGGTTGGAAGAAAGGTAGGGGCGGCAAAGCAAAACATACCACTAGATTCTACTTCTTGAATAATATTCTCGAACCTTAGTCTGTCCGATTACTGATAATACTTCTACTGCCTCTACTACGATGGGATTTGAATTGACAGTTGCGACTCTGTATGGTAGTATAATATGGCGACCTGAACTAATGTACGTACATACGAAGTCTGACGTTGTAATTGACTGACTAGCTGACTCACCAAACATTTATTATTGAACCGTAGTTGTTCATTAAATTGTCAATCTCATTTAGAGTTATGAATATACTTACTGTTATACATCATGCATTACTGCTGATTTTAAATCCTTCATCTCAGTGTTCTTATTTTTCTCAAACCAATATTGTGGTAATTTCATAAACTCAGCTAAAATTTATGCTAATGCTCACTTTGTTCATGCAAATTTTTCACGTACCCTTAAACTACCAATCCGATCAGCAAGCACACCAATTGGTCTCTACCGGAATGGTTCGCTAACCTCAAGCCCACATCACTCCTCCTTTATCCGGATTTGGGACCGACAGTAACCCCAAAAGGCTCCAGGTGCATTTAATATAATTACACCACTGGATAATTTGGATTACAGAATGATTGATTTTATAGTCAGTCAACTAATTGCTAGTTAAAAACAATCCTCATGCTTTTTTAAAAAATCAGAATATCCTTCGACAAAATGTCTTGAGGCCTTGAAAAAGAAAGCTAGATGTTTTATCCAGTTAGCATTGCAGTAATAAAAAAATTCTCAAAAATAACTAGAAAAATAAAGGATTATGTGTCACAATGTGATGATTAAATGGTTATTCATATTGCTTCTATACTTTGTATGTCTCAAGAAGTTAGAGGTCATCTGAAAATTTTCAAATCATCTCAATTTTCTGTATCTACGTGCTCTTAACCTCATAGTAAAGCTTTTACTCACATTTTGCACTTTTTTTCTTTATCGTTGGCTTTCAAGTATACAAATAATAGTCAGAGGTTGAGGAATCAGCTTAAAAGATTAGTAGAAAGCATTCAAACAACAGACTTACCAATTAATTACTGTGTTACTAAATTTAGCATACTCCTATAAATACTTAGGAGTCAAAGGTTAACAATGAACCTGTTAATACTATTACTATCTGTACTTTAGTATCAACATCGGAATAAGGTTTCTATTCCTGAATGCCATGGTATAACCTAATAAGGTTGGTGGATATGAACGATCCATCCATCGGCGGGAGCTGGAAAACCTTGATTCCTCTAGGATCTTGAGGAAACAAATGTCATATTATTATTGCTGTCATGGGACTGCTTCTTTTGATACTGATCCACTGCCTTGCTGATTAGACTTGTATATCAAAGACTGGGGAATGGTCCTGTAAAAAGACTGCTTGCTTCGGTGTGGGCATCCAGTCAGTACCCCATCCTACTTATAAATTCAGTGATTTGTGTGACGCATAAATATTTAGGTACCCCTTTTTGCTCTATCGTTTTGAAACTCAAGTTTACAAGAATTCCAGAGATCTAAGAAGCTTTTATGCAGTTATTATATTGCTCTTAAATAACAAACTGATCTATTACGAATCTCACTTAATCATATCAGTTTTTTTAAATGGACGAGAGGCCTACACCTACAACAGACATGGCTCGTCAAGGTAGTGAGTGAGTAGGTATACACTTAACAAATGTTCCACTCACCTCAACTAATGAAGTTTCACTACTTCATCTATTGACCTTCCTTCCGTAACTAGAATCCACTTTCTAACAATAGCACCGCTTACTCGGTCGTCCTAGGATATACGAGCAATGTTTCGAAGATACCTGTGATCGATTGAATACTAGTAACATACGTATATATATCCTCTATTCTTACTGACCATATTTCACACGCGTATAGTAGAACGAAACGAACTGTTGCTCAGTTGTCAATAACTTACACTAATTAGATAGACCAACAACAGTTGACAGAACCATTCATCTATGCGAATATAAAAGTTGAAATATGACTAAAACTAATATCAAACTGCATAGAGAGGGTAGGGGGGGGGGGTTAAAAGAACTGAGTTTTATAATAAAAAGAATGATAATCATCTTAAAAGTGTTATTTGTATTAATCTTTTTTATGACAAAGTGATTATATTTTGATTATGGATGTTAGTTGGTGAGTTAGTTAGCTAGTGAAAAGAATCGGCCTCCAAAACAAGAAGCGCATCGACCAATTTGTCTTTGCGATTTTCTAAAGCTTAGCGTTTTTCACATTCTCTATACTGCTAAATGTATTTGTCTCCTCTTTTTCTTTAAAAAAACTTTAATCATTGCTTCAAAATTTGCCAAAATTTTCATCCTAATTTCAATTTAAGCTTACAAAATTCTCATTGTCTCATTTCTAAATGAATATTTATTTGTGTTTACACTTTCTTTTTTTCCTTTCGTTTTACATGTATGTTTGTATTGTACATAAATATTGTATGTGTAAATATATATGTATATGCAGGTTCATCATCATTGCCTTCTTGTAATCCGCCTAAATCGTATGCATCAACTAATTTGAATGTAGTTCCTACTACTACTGCTGCTGTTGCAGCTGCAGCTTCTGGGCTACGTACTACTGGTGGACTTACAACAACTGCTACGAGTGGTGTTGTTGGTGGTGGTGGTTCGTCACTCTATTCTTGTCAATTACAATCAAATTCTGTTTGCCAGTCAGTATCAGCCACGTCATCTGTATATCCGCCGCCGCCGTTGCCTCATCACCATCCTCATGGACTTGTACGTATTGGTGATGTTTGGTGTAATCGTTATAAAATTCTCGCCTTAATTGGTAAAGGTACATTTGGTCAAGTAAGTGCTCTCTCTCTATCTCTCTGTGTCTTTCTCATATTTACATTTTATCGATTTAATATGTTCAAAAGATATGACGACAAACATATGGTATAAGGGGCCCAAGGATTCTCGGAAGTGAGTAGACAAATCGTACGCTTTTGTACAAAATCCCAATTATCCCTTGCTACGAACGGTAAAAAAACCGATTGTATGCTGTTGTAAACACTTTCCTTTAACTATAGTTTGAAAAGAATGGTGTTAAATGCTGCAACCAGTGTTCAACTCTATCTCGGTGGACTTTATGCAATTGGCAAGTTGATACTATAGAACTAACTATACCTACTATACCTTCAAATTGTAACCTCCTAGTGGCATGATATTTTATGCACAACGAACTAACTAATCAGATGGCATATCATGAATTTTTTTCGCGTGAAATTCCTTCATTCGAATCGCTACAGTTTGCCATTAAGAAAAAAACTTTACTTTGATTAAATATACCGTTGAGGGAGGGGACTCTTCAAAAATGAATTTGTGTTTTCAAATGAATTTATTCATGGTTAAAATCTGCTTACGTTTGTTTATAATACTCTTGTTTTCATCGAATTCATGAATCAATCAATGTTGAGCCACCACTATTAGAAACCTGAAAGCGCTGGTCGGCCGTCGCATTCTAGTAATGGGACTGGTCAGTGGCGGTGCTCATCCACGGCTCCCGCTACTCGCACGAGTCGAACCCAAGACCCTCGGTGTCGCGTGTGAACGCATAACCAGCTCCTCCCCTGGACCACTGAGTCGGCTGGCACTGAACGCGATGTTAATGTCTAACTCTAATCAATCCCATAGTGTTTCCTACATGAATTATCCATTTGCAAAAATGGTCTTCTGATTGGCTGAAAATGAGTTGTGGTTATTTTCACCTCGTCTCCCTTATTCTACTCGTCCTATTATCATTATTATTATTTCTAACTGAACAATTCTTTTTTTTGTGATATATATATTCTATTAGATATCGTTCAGAATTATCTAATTTTTACCTAAATCTACTTGTGTTTTAGTTGTTTGTTTTTGTTTTCCGAAATTTTGTGCTTGTTTGTCTGTTTTGACGAATTTCAATCATATTCTCTCTATATGATGAAGTACATGTACACATACATGCACAATGTATGTGTACACGTACTTCATCCATAGCACATTATTGATCGACGTGTAGATAGGTAGACAGATATACGTTGGTGAAAATTGTAGCACAAAATTAGCAATACCCACAGTAAGTAAGTAAGTAAGTAAGTAAGTAGATGTAGTGTTGTAGTTGGTTGCAAAATGCTATAAGTAGTAGTATTTTTTTGTATAGTAATAGTAGTTTCAATCAAAATTGCAGTTCAGTAACATAGACATACTAGTTGTATATTATTTTTGTTAATAATAGTACATATATGGCCGTAAACAAGATGAATCACTTCGGTAAATCATTACGCTCGTTCGTGTGCAATACATATTACACACTCAGTCTCTCTAGTCAGCTAGCTAGTAGTTGAATGGTTGGTTGGGTTAACATGGTGTAGGCTAACCAATTCATGCGTGTTCTCTGTGATGCTCTTTCCGCCACCGACAACAACAACAACATTTATGCCTTGTAGTGTTGTAGATGCGACTTAAAAATGTGTACACATATATAAATAGATAGATAGATAGATAGTGAGCGCAAAGACACGTACATGTTTTGGACATACACAAGGTTGATCTCTGTCTGTTCATCTATCTGCCTGTCTGTGTTGCCGTCTGATTGTAGTGCACACGACTTGTGTGTGTTGTCATGATACTTCGGATTATTTATTTATGTATAGTATGAATGAATTTTTTGTATAATCGATGCTCTTTAGGGTTTTTTTTACAACTCTACTTAGGTCATCATACACGTACACACACACACATCTATCTGTGTACATACATATGCACGCACACACACACACGTTCAAGTGCCGTTTTTTGTCGTCTTCTAAACACCAACTTGATGTTGATGATCACAGATAAAAAAATTAAACTTAGTCTACCACATCCTCATCACTACTACTGTGTCGTTCTTCTGTATTTAATTTTAATTACAGTGATTTATTCCGTCCATGATTTTTGTTTTATTGTGTGAGTATTACACATGTCACACACATTTTGAAACAGTGTTTGTGTGTGTCATTTGTGATGGAGTAACATAATCAATGTCACTTTAGGTATTCTTTAAAAATTACCGTGAAATATAAAAATTCTGATAATTATAGCAGAGAAACATTGGACAGTTGTTTTGTCTTAAAATATCGGATTCTTCAGGAGTGTGAATCCTATGAATTCTTTATGGTTCGAGATTAAGTACCTTCGGGTCTTATTGTAATAATTGCTTAGCGTGCAAACTCCTGAGTCGGCATCTAGTGCTCTAAATTGTTAACTTTAATCTATTTTGGCGGTACTACTCAACCAACATACATGAGATGATTGGACATTATCGGTTGCGGTCTCTTCGGGAATGATTTCTCTTAATTAATCACTGGTGATCAGTCACATCATTATGATTACTAATTATTTATCAACAGTCCCATCGAATTAATAAATCGATCATTGGTAGACTACCACCATTTTAACCTGGAAGCATTGGATGGCCGTTTCGCCCTATTAGGGGACTCATCAGCAGTGGACATCCGCGACCTTCACATGCACGAACGGAACCCGGGAACTTTTGTCTCGCGTGCGAACACTTAACCTCTAGATCATTCAACCGGCATCCAACGGTGTTAATGTCTAACATCAATCAATCCGAAGTATTGATTAAACTTTGACAGTAACACTATTCGATACTGTCTCAGGAGTCTAGAGGTTAGGCGTTCGCGTACGGAGCCAGAGGCCCTAGGTTCTATTCCCGAGTGTGTAATCGTAGATGCTCACTACGATGGAGTCTCGTTATAGGTCGAGTGTTCAATGCCTGCAGGTTTTCATTGGTGCTCTAACTAAGATCACTTCGTGATTTAAAATCTATGAACCTTCGCATTTTCTGAGCCGTTAATCGATATCACTTCTTAAGTTAGTCAATCACTATCCCAATTATTATGTTACTACGCCGCAGATGCTATTCCGTCTTTAGCCCCTTGATCAATGATGCGTTCCAACCGACACAGTTAACTTTGAGTTAACATTAGCTTATCTCTTATCAGTCCTCTGATACGCAATCTCTTATATCACCCATCCTTAAATCCTAGAGGAGAAAACAGCTGTCAAGCTGTTATCATTTCATTTCAACCACTCAACATCTACCTCAATCACTTATTAGATTATTATATACATGAATTCTCACACTGCAACTCACCCAAATAAAAAACCATACTTTATTTACAATGAGTCATTTCTTAAGTTGCATAAAACGAAATTAATACTACCATAATTAATTGACAATAATTATGAAACCATAAAGCATATAACATGTAGGGACTCCACATATATTCGGGTTCGCTTACATCTAATTCGGTTAAGCCCTTTCGATTAATTTATTTAACCAAGCCATTTGCGTAGCATCAACTTATATGTACCTTTCGCTCTTACTATTATCTGGTTTGCATAAGCTCACATGACTTATCCCGCTTGCTTCTGACCTTGTCAATCATTCGTTGCTTTTATTCATGTGTGCATGCGTATTTCGCTTGTCACATGTCTGACTAGATATTCTTATTCATGCTCTATCTTTAAGAGTTGGCTCAACAGCGTTCTCCGATTCACGTCGCTTTATTCATTTTATTCACTGCTTCACCGCTTCGCTTTGTGGTATGTCCCAAATAAACGTATTCAACACTACGAGTTCACCTTCTGATTTATAACCGTCAGACGCCATTTAGTAACGATTGTCTGGATGAGCTAATTACCAAGCTTATAAACAAGCAGGAAATACCCCACCACAAACACACCGGGTATTAGATTCGTTGAAATCTTACAATAATAAGCTGAAATAACGGAATACATAATAATCACCGGTAACTTATTACACTACTATAGAATAAAGATACAAATAAGAATAACAATAATCCGTAAATTAATCATTAGGTGTTATAGTGTTTGTGTATGTATGCCGATCAATATCAAGTGTTCAATTCACCGATCTCGGTATTCCAACTGTAAGCTTTCTAATCTCTCACGTCTATCATTTTTTGTCTAGGTGTTCTAGACGTGACCAATATTATAATTTGACCTGAACAAACTAACCTTGAGTAAAGTGAACACCGATTGGTCCTCCAATCCATAAGCTCTTCTCTCTCTCTCTCTCTTTTATGATGAGTTCATGAGATTAATAGTAGTTGGTGGATCTCAGTCTCTATAATTTGAAATTCAAGAAATAAAAATAACATAATTATGCTGTAAATAGAAGATAATTGAGTAATAGGTTTGTAATTAAATCAAAATCTAACTTTAAAAGCCAATGACAAAACACAGTTCATATATTTCTTGAGAAATAAGACGTACACACAATAGATAATTTTAGGTAGGAAACAGTTTCAACTTTGCTAATAAAATAATCTTTCCTCCGAAAGAGGTTGTTGATCTTTGCTGTGCTATAGCTATTTTTATTTCTCGTTACATATAAATGTATTTGCACATTTTGTTCTCATTCACAGAAATTCAGCTGTATTTGTTGATTTTTTTTTGCCATCAAGTTTACAAGTTGAACAAGTTCATACTCGTTATTTTCAATTAGTTTAAAAGCTTCGTTTTTTTTCGACCAATTACAATACACCTTACAAAATGATAGTGATGTGTGTGATAAGGTGTTTTTTTTTTTTTAAGTAAAGAATGGTCATCACTGAATTGAGCCACTTAATTTTTCCCCTTATTTTAAAAATCCAATATTCAGTGGACAATAATAGATGACAGTAATGTAATGCAATGAAGTGTAATAATACATTCTCACGTGTTTTACTATTCAATGTCATGATGAGTTTAAATCCCCTTAAGAATTATTTTCGTCAAGATGATGACGTGTGTGTGTGTCGTTGTAGTGATATAATGGTTTCATAAATTATTTGGTGATTCCCTTCTTAAGAATACCTAGATTGTTACGTCACTTATGCAATTTGGATGGAGTTTGGTTGACAAAAGATCTTGAAAACACTAACAATATTTTCTCTTTGGATAAATTAATTTATTGATATGTTTCCTTTCGAATTTATTTTCTCTACATACTAACTACTTATTTAGTAAGCTAAACAGTGAATTTAGTAATGAGTGGTTTAATCAGTTGATAAAGTTTAATACAAAGGAATAGAATTTTTACTATTTTTAAATTTATTTCACTGGATTGTACTTCTCTAATGATATCTTCCAATTCTATTCTTCTCCACTACTGCTAATACTGCTGTACTACCTCTACTACTACTATTCGAGGATTTGAATTGACAATTCCCTCCCTCTCTCTGTGCTAATGTGGTGTGGGAACTTGGTCTGACGTGCATACATACGTAGAAAGCTCTATGTTGTAGCTCAGTGAAATGATGAAATATTGAGTGATTAGCAAGGACTTGTCCTCCAATTTCCATGTGTGCGTACTTCTATTCTCAATCACTATTGGTGTTCGCTAAGTTTGAATTGTGTAATCTATTCACAAATACAATTTGAATTATCGATCAACAATCACTTGAAATTATTGCATTTTATTTTTTTTAAATTTTTTCTTCTGTCTATCTATCCATACACACACACACAGGTTGTTCGTGCTTTTGATGAATTAACCGGCGAAGAAGTTGCTATTAAAGTAATTAAAAATAAACGTTCTTTTGTACAACAAGCTGAAGTAGAAATTAAATTACTGCGTGAAATGTCTATATTTCAATCAAATGAACAATTAGCTGCAGATGTTGGAGCTAATTACATTGGTAAATTGGAATTGTTAATAATGATGATTTTTTTAAATTTAATTATTTTATGTATCGATTTTATTTGGTCAGTGTTTTCCTCACTGTCATTGTCATTGAAATCATGAACCGATCATTGTTATACCCAGTACACCAGTAGAAGAAATCTGAAAGCACTGAATGGTTGTTTCGTTTCATGCATGGGACTTATCAATGTCATCAAAGCGCATTGACAAGCCCTGTCCGTGGGAATAATGAGGTTAGGCATAGGCAACACATGTCTCAACCATCTCAACTGATGAAGTTTCACTACTTCATCAGTTGATCTGCTATCCTTAACGACAGCACTGCCTACTTGATAGTCCCATAATACACCAGCAATGCTTCGACGGCACCTATGATCGAAAAATAAGGACCTACGAATGTCGTCTAATCTTACGGACAATGTTTCGCATCCGTATAGTAGGACGGAGTGAACTGCTGCGCAGTACACTCGACCTTTGGTTAGCAAATGGATATCTCACCTATGCAAAAGCTAATCAAAACTTCTGCATCCATGGTGACATTTTGTCAGTTACCGGGCCATCATAACTAATGAGACTGACAAGATTAATGAAGTGGTCAGCATACTCAACCACTGCACTCCCTATCACTTTTTCCTGTTCACATGCAAGCCAATCCTGAAGGAACATCATGCATTTCGAGAGGGAGAATCGCATCTCAAACAGGTTTGCATCGTTGCTTAGGGTAGTTAGATGACTGCATTTTGTCAGCTTCTTCACCAAGTAGAACTACGTCATTGGCAGCGAATCTCCTGGTAATATTTCAACTCCTGAAAAGTTAGATTATGAAAATGTCATTTCTAAAAGCGCATCAATGACGAAGTTAATATAGAATGGAGAAAGTAGACAACTGTGACGAACACCACTTAAAGAAACCAATCCCGATAACAGTTTTCCATGAGCCAACCATTTAACCAGTAGAGTTTGGGTAGAGAGCCTATATAAGGCTGATGTACTTTTTTGGTACATCTTTTAATGACAGCCACTGCCACAGAACCTCACGATCAACAGAGTCAAACTCCGCCTTTATATCCAAGAATACAACTAATGTCGGACGTCGAAATGTGTTTCTATGTCTAACACAATAGATCAAATGTATAAAATTGCAATATATTCGTCTCCTGCTTTTTTTCCCAAAATAGAGCCAGTTAGTCAAACTCATGGTAGAATTCGGCACCTGTATACATCGGTTCATGTCGTCGTACCTTATTGATAATGCGAAATGAGATTATTAGAGCAGTGTCCAAAGTAGTAACTGTAACAGTATCAGTGATCATAGAAATATTAGGCATAATATATATAACTCGAGAAAAAATGTGGATTCATAGGACTGGAATTATTATTATTATTAATATTCTGATACTCCAGGATCTAGAATTTAACTGAAAGAAAGGGAGTGCTCTATTCCGAGTAATATTGCTCAGTTGTTCCAACTAATCACTGATCTTGGTTATTAGATGAATTCCAACCAGATTTTCTGTATCTGCCTACATGACTCTCCATCCAATGGTCATTGATTTCTTGCATTTGGTTTTTTTATGAGCTCACTCCACTGTACTACATCGTTTGAGGTAGACAGTCACCAGGACTACATACATACATGCTACATGTTCCACTTACCTTTTCCGCTTTTACCTATCCCTCCCCCCGTGCTTCTATCCTCAGCCTTTTCTCTTCATTCAGTTATTCTCATTATTTTGGAGCAATGACTTCGACGGCTTTTTTTATGATCGACTGCTAGTATAATTCATTTAGAAATATCTTTATATATATATGTATTCTATTTTTATCATTACTTGTCATCAAACTGAACACATGTAGTGACAATCAAATTATCACCATTGATTTTGTGTCTTACCTTAAAATTGTCAATTAGTGACTTGTTGTTGTTGTTACAGTTGCTGCTGCTGCTGTTGCTGTTGCTGGCGTTACTGTTACTGTTACCGTCTATTTTTATTCAATTATCTTTATTTTTCCACTATGATTCACGTCATTTATTTATTTATTTCTCTTGACAACAACAAATGTATATATATGTATATGTATATACACAAATAGAAAAATCATTCATTCATCCACTCATTCTATCATTGACATTTAAAGCATACATTCAGTAGTAGTGTTAGCAGTGTGGTTAGTTAGTAGTAATAGTAGCAGTAGTAGTAGTGTTAGTGGTGTGGTTAGTTGGTTAGTTAGTAGTATTAGTAGCAGTAGTAGTAGTTGTTGTTGTTGAATGTTTTCCACACACAGTTTCGCAATCAACAGTGCATTATTATCATTATTATTATTCATCACGTGATACTCATTGATGTGCATATGTCTGTCTGTATAACATACGGTTTTACTTGAACACTGTATTGATCTATACATGTGTACGTGTGTGTGTGCGCGCGCGCGCGTAATAACGAGAAGTGTTTTACAGAAGAGAAAAAAATTCAATCTAAATCATGTATTCAGATAACAATTTCGATGATATTTCAAATGTATATTGATGATAATTAGAGTTCATACCTCTATGATGATTATTGGGTGTGTGCGTGTCTTTATGTATGCATTTTAACTGTTTACTAGGTGTTATTTCATCTATTAGTAATCAATTCTGGGGTCCCTTCAATTTCATTTGTCCTGGGATTTTAAGTGACAATTACGTCTGTGTGCTGATATGGTGGTGGTATGACAACTTGAACTGATGTACATACGTATGTACGAAGTTCTAAGTTGCAATTGACTGACTGACTGACTGTCATCCTTAAAAGTGTAAACATACTCCTCCTTATTGATTGAATCATTCAATGAGATTTAATGGATTCAAATTATCTGATGAGAATGTTTGTGTGTGCGTAAATTATGGTTCTAATATTCATCGATTTACAATCACTCTCAATAATATCTATATGAGGAATAGGAAATTTTTGTAAGTTACATCATGAACATTGATCTTTGTGACATAATCAGTGAATATTAGGAAAGACAAGGAAGCTGTTTTGTATTAGTATGAAACTCCTCAGCAGTAGGTATGCACAGCCACCATCGGAGATCCAAAGCCATGACCAATGAAATTTAACCATATATGATCATCAGTCTTTTTGATTACTGCTAATACACTTGTACTACTATGAGATTTGAATTGACACTTGCGTCTCTGTGCTAATATGGTAGTATGGCAACTTGAACTGATCTAAATACAAAGTTCTACATTGCAACTGACGGATTGAGTTTTTATATATGTATTGTGTTCTTTTCATTTCTGTAGAGTAAGATAGAGATTACTGAAATATTTGCCACTATACCTAACCCCTCCGTTTTACATTCTATCCTTTCATCTCTTTTTATATTTATTTCTTTTGTAGTGAATTTAAAAGGACATTTCAGTTATCATGGTCATTTATGTTTAGTATTTGAATTACTCTCCTATAATTTATATGATTTACTTGGTAATACAAATTATCGTGGTGTTTCATTAAATTTAACAAGAAAATTTGCTCAACAATTATGCGCTGCATTAGTATTTCTATCCAGATCCGATGTACATGTGATACATTGTGATTTGAAACCGGAAAATATACTATTAGTGAATCCAAAACGTTCAGCTATTAAAGTGATAGATTTTGGTAGTTCATGTCATGTTCATGAAAAAGTCTATCAATATATTCAGTCAAGATTTTATCGGTAAGTTATCGTTGTTGTTGTGTGTTGTTGATGATTGTTATATTATCATTCTTGTCGAGGATTATGTTTTTTGTGTGTTGTGTGTTGGGATCCGCGAGACGAAACTCACCGATGATTAGAGACCTTGAACAACATGGCTCAAAATCGTTTGCAATGGCACAGGTGCATCCACTCTTTGTGTTCTCTCAAACTCTAACCTTCTGAATTCCTCATCATCTGTATCTTTGTCTTCCTAACTTTATATCACTGAATTATACTTCTCGAACCCTAATCTTCTCCATTACTGCAAATACTTCTACTACTGGCAGTTGCATCTCTATGCTGATGCGGTATGGCAAGCTAAACTGTTTTACGTACGTACAAAGTTCTTTGTTGTATCTGTCTGTCTGTCTTTGTGTGTTGTTCTATGTGTTCCACTTTTCCCGTTTACAATTTATGGTATAATCTGGCTGGTATTCATTATTTATTTTCCGTCCAAATTCTAAACTTTTGAATTCTCATTAATTTATGAAATTTTCTTGGATCATATCGTCGATCTCCTTCCTCTCTACTGATCTCGTTACTGCTTCTACTATGGTGGTGGTCGGTATTCTATATCATTCCTTAACATCGTATACTTTTCTTCTTGATAACTGTTACCAGAGATAAATGCTCAACGGTGTATACAATTCAAAAGACGAGTACGAAGCGTTGAAGATGTGTATTGTCGTGCCGCACACACAGATCACGAAACCAGAGGCATACGAAGCGAAAGTGTGAATGATAGGAATGCTGAAGAGCAAGCAAGTGAATAGGATTAAAATGTACATATATATACATTGGCAAATGAATGAGACATCGAATAATTGAAGAGGCTACCAGTAAACCGAATAGAATGAATATGTTCGTAGGCAGTAATCGCACAATGCTCAATCATAACTGCTCATACAAACGCGACAATAATAAAAGCACAATGGTACAGATACGTTGTATCTATGTACAAAATATATTCTACAAACAGCCAACAAGCGCAATGCAATCAAGCACACATATCGCGTTTATTTATACATCATACAAACGTCCTTGGGACAGTCACAAAAATAGCAGCCAATCACAGCCGAGGATTCTCCTGGTGGGAAATGCGATTTCAAGGTCAATTGATCAGCCCACGCTCGGAAACATAAAATCCAAAATTAAGGCATTTATCAAGCGACTTCTGGGGATCTAACGTCCCTAACTATATATATGTATATATTGTACAAACGCAGTAATATATTATACATAGTGAATTGCATGTGTGACTTCATTCATATGTAATAATAATAATATTAAATCGTTCTTTCAGTCTATAATAATCATCATCAACAAACTCGAGACAAAAAAAACAGTGAATGTTTTTTTTTAAAATCTCTTTCAAAGATAGATATCCACCAATCTTTTTTTGATCGAGAAAAAAAAACACTACAGATTTCTTGTTGTTATCATTATTGTAAGAAGAAATAATTCATTGTTTCAAAATACGTTCTATGGTTGTCAATGGTGGTGGTGTTGTTGTCGTTGTTGTTAAGATTGTCATCATTATTAATCTATGGTTTCATAGTATTTTTTTTAACTAACCCAATAATATTGTTACAATAATTGCAAAATCGACTTCTATACTATACACCTCATTACCGACCACCACCAGTATAACTTCGTGTACTACTTGTAAATTGTGAAAACGTCGTCAACTGTTTTCTTTTTTTACTTTTTCACGCCTATTGATGATGATGATGATTTTACATACCGTCAGGGAAAATAATAAAATACAGTGTGTGTGTGTTCGTGTATGTGTCTGGATTTTTTTTCTAGTCACTTTTAAATCTCCTTATTTTATATTCATCAATATGTACAACAGTTGTACTAGTAGTAGTCGCAGTATTAGGTGTAGGTGTGTATAGATAATAAAAATAACACTTTGGACAGATCAATTATTCCCAATCCTATGCTCCTTCTCATCATCATCATGACGACGATTTCAAAAACTTAAGTGAAATGGATCATTTGCTGATTAGTAGAGTAAATAATAATTTTCCTTTATTGCACATTGAAATCATCAATCAGTCAATTAATGTTAGACCACTATTAGAAACCTGGAAGCACTGGACGGCCGTTTCGTCCTGGTATGGGACTCATCAACAGTGAGCATCCACCACTCTTCACCTCGCAGGATTCGAACCCAGGACCTTCGGTCTTGTGCGCGAACGCTTAACCTAACACTGTTAATGTCTAACTCTGATCAATCTACGAACTTTCCTTTAAAAAAGCAAAAAAATAACACTATTTGCAGAAAACTACAATAAATTCATTCGTTGGTCTTTCTTGTTTCAATTATTATTATGAGTAGTTTCAAGTGTAAAATTACGACTGTTGGATGCAGACTCAGTAGTTTGGAGGTTAAGTGTGTTCGCACGCGATACTGAAGGTCTTGGGTTTGACTTTGACTCCTGTGAGTAGCGGTAGTCGTGGATGCGCAATGCCTCTGACGAGTCCCCATACTAGGTCGGAACGACCGTCCACTGCTTCCAGGTTTCTTTCTAATGATGGTGGTCTAGCAATGATTGGTTCATAATTTTGAATACAAAACAATTTTCTGTTATGTTTTAAAGTACTTGATATAATTTTATCACGTAATATAACACTTAAAAAGTAATAAGAGAACTTGAGCTGAACTCACTAAGTTATGATGATAAATAAGTACTTACTTACTCCTGTTACCCCTAACGGAGCATGGGCCGCCGATCAGTGAATTATTTCTCTGGTTAGCCTCTTTTTTTTAGCAAGTTGAATTCCTACGAGATGCGTTCATTAACCCTCTTCCTTTTATCCGGGCTTGGAACCTGCAGAAACGCCAGAAGGGCTCCAGCCGGAATTACCTGTGGGAATTAGTCATCTTTGTTGTTACGGTGGTGTTTCGTTCTCTGAGCTGGATAATTTGGTTGTGAACCTTTTATTGTTCTTCTGAACAACATCAGCAAAATCTTCAGATAGTAGTGAAGCATTCAAATTTTTCCACGTTTGACCTGTAGCTTGTTCTTGATTGGTTTCTGTTGATCTTAAACCTGTTGCTGTTTGCACCTTTGTTTTGACAATATCCCCAGTTTCATCTGTTTCTTGATCCTATGTCGCCTATGATATTTCTCATTGGTTGGTAAATTGATTTAATTATCGATGTGTTTGTTGATTGCTGATTGAATTGAGTCCCAAGCTGCTAAACATTTCCTAGTGCTCTTTGTCCTCCCCCTATCCAGTATTTCCACATTGTTCCAATCGAATATATGTCCATAATTGTCGGTGTGTATTGATATAAGCGAAGAATTGTCATCGCGTTTGACTGCTAATTGCTGTTTACGTAAACGAAGCTGAAGAGGCCGTCCACTTTGTACTATGTAGTGTTTTTCACAGTCTGAGCAATTTATTTTGTAGATGATATTTGCTTTTTCTTGCTTTGTCATTATGTCCTTTGGTCTATATAGGATTGATTGAAGTGATTCTGTTGGTTTGTGTGCCACACCTATTCCAAATGGTTTCAGTAGTCGTGCTGTATGCTTCGATATGTCTTTTATGTATGGTAGGATGATCCGTTTATTATTGGTTTCTGTACTTGATTTTGCTTCTGTTGACGATTCCGGTTGATGTTTTTTGATGAAGTTGCGCGGATAGCCATTCTCTTGGAAGATAGTGACAAGATGTTTTTCCTCGTTTTTTTAGTGCTTCATATGTGCTGCAGTGTGTCTTCTCTCTCTTGAACAAAGTTTGTATGCAGTTTATTTTGTGAGTACTTGGGTTGTTGCTACCTTAGTTAAGAATCACTTCTGTGAGTGTTGGCTTCCGAATTACTTGAGTTTCCAGTCTTCCTGCGTTAGTTCTGGTGATTATTACATTCAGGAATGATAGACTATTGTTTGATTTCTTTTCCATGGTGAATTTTATGTTATCCAAGATGTTGTTGATCCGATTGCAGATTTTCACCAGCTCGTTCCTTTTGATAATGACGTGTCGAACCCACATTTTTGGTTTGATCACTGGTAAAACTGACACTTCTAGTCTCTGCATTACAGCTTCCGTGATGAATCCTGATATCGGTGATCTTTTTTGTTATCTTTAGTTTATATTGTCAAGTGTTTTTCTTTGCTAAAACATCATCATCGTATATCACTGAGTTGTTCTTGTCGTTTCGTTTATTATTCTATTATGCAAAAAAAATTGTGTAAAAACAACGAGCCTTATACCATTGAATTGTTAGTAATTGTTGACTAGTTATGTTTGCCGCCTATTTTTATAGCGTATTTTTAAATAATAAAACATATCTATTCTTTTTCTGTGTAAAGCTCTCCAGAAGTATTGTTCAATTTGGATTATGGTTTGGGCATTGATATGTGGTCATTGGGTTGTATTTTAGTTGAAATGCATACTGGTGAACCATTGTTTTGCGGAGCAAATGAGGTCAGTTAGTTTGTTTGTTTGCTTGTTCGATAGATAGATAAATGTTATAGTTATACTACTACTCTTTAATTATTTATTATGCCTTTTTCTATATTCAAAATTACCTTATACTGGGAATACAATACCTTCTATAAAAGTAACACTAAACATTGAGAGATTAACAAACAAAAGATGATCAGTCATATCGTGTTTTAATACTGATTTTAATAAGGCTTGCTAGTAAGTTTGTTTTAAAGTTTTTCAGATATATGACTTCGTCAGCGTAAACACCATACGTCTCCTGTGATGTTAGGATTATGAGGGCAGATGTCACTTCCCGGTCGCCCACACAGTGCAAAGGTGTTTCTTAAGGAACCTGAAAACGAAGCTAGGTGTACGTTGATCTTAACGTTCTCGAAGCGTGGCCGCAGAGCCTAAGAGACAACTGCTCGCAGCCGACTTTTTTATGGGGAGTTTTTAATGTGTTGGCTCCGCTCTTTTTAAAAGGCCTTACTGCTGGAGATGGAAATCCGAAGGGTAAGGTGAGGTATAACATTCCTCAGGTTGATCTTCTCCAGCCCCATTTTTCCTTGTGCGAAGGCAGCATCGATGCAAATGCTGTTTGTCCGAGGGAAACAACTTACTGCTATCATAGCCCTCTACAGTTAGCAGTACGAATTCGCCCTCAGACCTTAAGTTGTTGCTCTTAGTCTCATCTTCTTCGACCTGCTTGGCACGGTTGAACCCACAGGAACATATATTCCGGCTAATATATCTCGGTTTGGTCATCACGATGGGCAAGCTTGACCACCACATCAAAATAGCAGCCACGGTCAGGAGTTCACATCATACTGATATTCAATCATTTCTAATCTTATATATTCTTCCTTGTTGAGTACCTTGCCCTCTTCCGATAATTCGAATGAACTATTCTTAAATAAAGAACCAACTATTGTTTATCCCATTTTATGTTGGCCACATTGTCAAAAGTAAACTTATCTGCCGTACCTACAATAAGGAGTGTGCATATATATTTTATCGAATGGGCATATTTGCCTGTGAGAACTGAGCTATAATATACCGGTTTTAAGTAATATCAACTAAGTTACATTAGATTTTAATCGAATTTATGCTTTTAATCTTCTATTCACTTTAATATTGTTCATTATAGACCCGAATATATCTTATAAATAGAACTCAAGACGATATATATATATATATATATATATATATATATATATATATATATCATACATTTGAATTAGATTAAGTTTTATAGTGTATTATTATGCCCTCTCTCCCTCTTCTTTGTCGTCGTCATCATGTGTTATTGTTACATGAATTTCTAATTGTGTATATTACACTTTCTCTATTCAGCTTGAACAATTGTTACAAATTATTGAAGTACTTGGTTTCCCACCGGTGTATATGATTGAAGCTAGTCCTAAATTATCAACTTTCTTTGAATGTATACCGGTGAATGTAAATCCTGCCTTGTCAGAAACAATACCGAATGCAATCAGTACTTCATCTTGTTCCACTGATAACATTGGTGATAGCTTGGCTACGAATAATAATAATAGTAGTAACAACAACACTAATCCAACCTCTAATCCTACAACAACAATACTATCTACAGTATCGACAACCACTTATGGTACATTGACAACTTCGCTTGCTACAACTACAATAGCTGGTGAAGAAAGTGCATTGGCAGCAGCAAAAACACCATCAACCACAGCTACCGTTTTGCCTTCATCAAAACATACTACTCATATTACTACTAGTAGTTCAATCGGTGGTGTTGATAGTGTTTGTCAAAGTTCCAATATTAGTAGTACAAATGTGAGAAATTCAATCACATGTAATGTTACAAATAACTGTGATAATCAGAATAATAATAATAATAATAACAGTAACTCGCATACATCAAATAATATAGCGGATAAATCGAATTCAGGCGTATTATTATCAACATCTGGAACGGTATTTTACAAACCGAAACGTATATGGACTAAACAAGAGTGTACTTATGAGGTGAGTGGAATTTTTCCTTTCATCATAAGGGAAAGATATATAATAATGTTTTAGATTTTTTGGCACTGAGATTTTATTTGTGTTAAGAAAGATGTCGACATTAGTTATCTCTGAAATATATATATATACCCGAAAGCATTCGCCAAGTAACATCATCAGTAGATGGTCACATAGAATTGAATTGTTGGGCATTTCATCCAAGGCTTTCAGTATTCTTTTTTTTTACTGATGAACAGTGGATAAAAAAGTGTTATTCTGTGAAATAAGCTACATCCTTACTGTGCTTGATTTTACTCTAAGGGTAGTGAATGTGAGTGAATAATTCCTCATGCTAAGATTGTGATATAAGGTGTATAATTGGGATTAGATTTTTTTCGAATAGTCTATATACTGCTTGCTAGGTAAAGATGGAATATTAAGAAATAAAGTAATGAACGTTCATCAGTTGCGAATATGTGTCAGGTATGCCTAAACGACGACTACCTTGGCGATCGATGATACCTGGTGTAGGGGTAGGCTGGAAAAATTCTGGGAGCCGCCAGTCCAAAACATGGTACAAGTCCATAAAGTCACTGACAACGGAGTTATACCAGTAGGTGTAGACTACCTGGTTGGGGTCCGCGAGATGACAGTAACCGATGGTTAGGAACCTTGAATGACATGTCTCAAATTCGTTTGAGATGGCCCATTTGCATCCACTCTTTGTATGTTCTCTCAAATTCTAATCTTCCGAATTCCTCATCGCCTATATCTTTCTGTTCCTAAATTTATAACACTGAATTATACTTCTTGAATAATTTCCTCGAACCTCAATCTTCTGGATTACCGCTAATACTTATACTACTATGAGATTTGCATTGACAATTCGATCTCACTGTGATTCTGTAGTAAGGTAAAGTATCTACGAAATGAGCTTTGTTATTCGGTGCAGATTATTTGCACAAGATTCGCGCAATCATCGTTACCGATCGTTTAAGAGATGAGGCAACTCTTAAAATCGGTCACAAAGGCACAGACGCATGTAATCTTTATCTCCCGAAATCTATTTATACCGTTTTTTCTCTGTTCTATTCTTTATATATAACCTCATCTGCTACTAATACTGTTATTGCTTCTACTATCATGGAATTTATCTTAATAACTTTATTTCATTGTGCTTGATTGATCATCGACTTAGAATATGCCGATGACAGTCCGACTTGGTGAAGACACTGACAAGATGCAGTCTTCTGACCACCCTAAGCAACAATGCAAGCATGTTCGGGATGCGGTTCTCACCCTCGAAATGCAAAATCTTCCTTCAAGATTGGGTTGCATCGGCACCTGAACTAGTGATAGGAAGTGAAGTAGTCGAGCGTGTTAATCGCTTCACTTATCTGGGGAGTCAGATCAGTGCTGATGGCCTGGTGACTGACGAAATCTCAGCTCGGATACGGAAGGCTCGATTGGCTTTTGCCAACCTGCGTCACTTATGGCGCAGGCGAGATGTCTGTTTTCTGACTCAAGGACGAGTGTACTGTTCAGCAGTTCGCTCCGTCCTACTATACGGATGCGAAACATGGCCGTTAAGAATAGAGGACATTCGTAGGTTAGTAGTCTTCGAACATATGTGTCTTCGAAACATTGCTCGTGTATCCTTGCAATGCTATCATTAGGAAACGAGTTCTAGGTAGGGATGGCAAACCAATAGATGAAGCATTGAAACTTCATCAGTTGACGTGGTTGGGACGTGTGTTACGTATGCCTAACCACCGACTGCTTCGACGAGCTATGTTTTGAGGTGTAGGAGTCGGTTGGAAGAAAGCTAAGGGCGGCTAGACCAAAACATGGCAGAAATGCATGAAGTCACTGACCAGTGGACTGAGTCATGTTGGTAGATGTAGACTACCTTGTTATGGTCCGCGGGACGAAAGTCACCGATGGTTAGAGACCTTGAACGACATGGCTCAGAATCGTTTAGAATGGCGCAGGTGCATCCACTCTTTGTGTTCTATGAAATTCTAAGCTTCTGCATTCCTCATAATCTCCATCTTTGTCCTTCTAAATTTATCTCACTGAATTATACTTTTCGAATCATATCTTCGCTCCCTAATCTTCTCCATTGCTACTAATAATTCTACTCTCGCTATCACTCTTGGATTTGAACTGTCAGTTACGTCTCTTTGCTGAGATGGTATGGCAACATCCTGAACTGATGTGCCCATGTACGAAGTTCTGCGTTGTACCTGTCTGTCTGTCTGTCTGCTTGATTGAGTGTGTAACTGATTCTACGTTGTATATGACCGATTGATTAATTCAATACTTCCAATAATTATTCGACACTTGTTAAGAAGCCCCTTTTTTCTCTTTTTATTTGATAGTGTAAATTCTCTGGAGTTGGAACAAGAACATTGCGTACAGTTGTTGGCGCTGATATTGGTGGACCTAAAAGTTGTCGTCGTGGAGAACAAGGTCATACACCGGAAGATTATGATAAATTTGTTGATTTAATTCAACGTATGCTAGTGTATGAACCAAGATTTCGTATTCGTCCAGAAGAAGCTCTGACACATCGATTTTTCACTCGTAAAGATGAAAGTGGTAAGTGTGTTTAGTTATGTCAAATTTAATATTAATGTGTGATTTCCAATTCGTTTGAGTGAATATAACGTAACATTTTATGCTTTCAAAAAAAAGAGTGACGCTTATTTTTTAAATTAAGCCACACATTCATACCTATACGTATACAACATTCATTTTAAGAATAATAAAGATTCCCATTGTGAAAATTAGAACAACACATATAAGCAAACAATATTGTTTTCAATTAGATTTTTTATCAGGCTTTACCCAAATTGCCTTGATCGGTTTAACATTTTCGCATAAATATTCATGTATATTTGAGAGTAAAGCCTGATGACGATCGAATCAAAAACACTATTGTTCGCTTATATATTGTTGTTTTAGCACTCATTTTGTTTTAAATTCATCTAAGGTAACTGCAAAATTTGTGTGATGTCAATATAAAGTAGATAAAATCTGTAAGACACCTATGATGGTGGCAGTTGAACAACTTATCTCGAATTAATGAACGTCAAACACATCTAAACTTTTGAGTGCTGGTTCAAGACTTCTGCTGCTCGCAGGATTCAAAATCGAGAGCTTTAGTCTTGCGTGCGAACACTTAGCTCCTGAACCACCGAGCCAGCTTCTAACAGTGTTAATGTCTAACTTCGATCCCTCGATGAGCTATGTTTTGTGGTGTAGGAGTAGGAGTAGGTTGGGAGAAAGCTCGGGGCGGCCAAACCAAAACATGGCAGAAATCCATGAAGTCATTGACAAGTGAATTGAGTCATGTCAGTAGGTGTCGACTAACTGGTTGGGGTACGCGAGATTTTAGTAATCGATGGTTAGATACCCTGAATGACATGGCTCAAAACCGTTTGCAGTGGCGCCAGTGCATTTATTCTTTGTGTTCCTAATCTTCTTTCTATTCATCTTAAACACCTCTAGTTTTGTCTTTCTAAATTTATCTCACTGAATCATACTTCTTGAATAATATCTTCGAACCCTAATCTCTCCGATTACTTATAATACCTTTAATACCTGGATTTGAATTGACAATAGCATCTCTGTGCTAATGTGGTATGGCAACCTGAACTGATGTACTTACGTACGAAGTTCTACGTCGCACCTGACTGACTGACTAACTTCGATCAATCCATGGTCTGGCACAACCTCATTTGTCTTCTTTGAGCACTATTTCTGACCTTGAACAGGGTTGAACTCCACTGGTCACGACTCCTCACTAGGGGGTTGGGCGTTTGCGCGCAAGACCTAAGGATTGGGGTTGGCTCATACAAGTGGGAGTCGTGGATTCACACAACGGATGAGTCCCATAGCGGGACGAAACGGTCATCCAGAGCTTCCAGGTTTCTAATGGTGGTCTAACCTTGATCGATTCATGATTTCAAAAACGTAACTCAACAATCTCCACAACCCTATCATGTAATAATTACTTGTCATTTTATAAATAATTGCCTAACTACATAAAGTCTAATAATATTGCTAATCTAATAGAATTCTATTTCATATCTACAAACAAACTAATTGATTGTAAAACACTTTTTAAAGAAAATGGCTCACTAATATGTAAGTCAGTCAGTTACAACGTAGAACTTCGTACATGGGTACATAAGTTCAGATTACCATACCGCATCAGCATAGAGACGCGATTGTCAGTTCAAATCCCATAGTGGTACAGATAGTAGAAGTATTAGTTGTAATGGAGAAGATTAGGGTTTGAAGATATGACTCAACAAGTATTATTCAGTGAAATAGATCTGAGTAGAGAGAGATAAAGGTCATCAGGAATTCAGAAGATTAAGATTCGCGAGAATTCAAAGAGTGGGTGCACTTGCGCAATCGCAAACGATTTTGATCCTTTTCATTCAAGGTTTCGAACCGTCGATCACTATCGTCTCGCGGACCCCAACCTGGTAGTCTACACTTACCAACATGAATCAGTTAACTTGTCGGTGACTTCATGGATTTGTACCATGTTTTGGTTTGGCCGTCGCTAGCTTTTTTCCAACCTACTCGTATACCACACATCATAGCTCGTCGAGGCAGTTGGTGGTAACAGATGTCCCAACCACTTCAACTGATGAAGTTTCAATACTTCATCCATTGATCTGCCATCCTCACTTAGTATTATGTAAAATGTATTTTGTAGTGTGTGACTAACTAGATTCTGATGAACAGGTTGAATTTGTCAGATTTTATATTACACACCGATTGGTAAGCATTGAATAATCTTAACACATGGTTGCTTATATTGTTACACATAATGATTATAATAATAATAATAATAATTAATACCACAATTATTTGTATCATAATTTATTTGTACTCTTCTTTTTGATTAAAAAAAATACAATAGGTCAACAGAAACAAAATACCAATAGCAGCACTTCTACAACCATTTCAACAGCTAATCCACCTCCAACTCGTCCAATAACAACAACAACAACAGCAACAAGCAGTGTAGTTGTTAGTAGTAGTAGTAGTAGGGCTACCACTGCTAATACGTCGATCACTGATCCCAGTACAAATACCGTATCCCTTTCCTGTCAGTCTATTACCGCCAACAACAACAACAACAACAACAATAATAATAATAAACAATCTCCTTCTGCTAATTTTGAGCAGTGTACTCATGAAAAATTCCCCAGCATTGGTAGCAATAGTAGTAGTACTGTTGTTGCTAATGCTACCACTACTACTACTACTACTACTACTAGTACTACCACATCGCATCAACATCATCGTCATAATTCAGGCCAAGAAACAATGAATGCATCTTATTTAACATTTGTTCCAAATCAAGAAATTAAACAACTGCCTGGACCGATCACTACTACTTCTACTACAGCCACCGCCATAGCAACGTCGACACCCGACTAAAATATCCTTATGTATACAAAAATAACAAGTACTATACATATATATAGTGGAATGGCTGCAATCTATCATTGTTTGTTTGTTCGTTTGTTCTGTTGTTGTTGTTGTTGTAGTTGTTAGAGTATTTGACACTCACTGGTGTGTTGCTCTCGTTTAGGTGATCATTTCATCGATTCATTGATAATATTTACCTGCCTAATTCATTCAATTTACTAGTCCTTTTCTCGCTCTCTCTCTATCTCTTATATTTATCTTCTGTTATTACGTATTGTATTAAAAAAAAAATAACACAGACTGATCGATTTTGATCTTTTATTCTCTTTTATACAACAACAACTACTACTACTACTTGTTGTTACGAATAGAGAGAACATTCACTGAATTTTTCTGCTGAGCAATTGTCCTGCCCCCAATCTTCAATGTATGATTTGTATGCTGTGAGTGCATGCTTAACATACATGTTTACTTTTATTGTTTGTTTGTTTGTTATACACATAATACCCCGGTTTCTCAATAGTAGTAGTAGTAGTAGTTAATAGTCGTAGTAGCTGATTCTATTCTCCTTTCTTGTATTCAATATTCTGCGCATTATGTCACTGATATATACATTGAACACACAATTAACTAACTATCTATCTATATCTATCTTTCTATTTCTATTATGCTATGTGATTGAGTATTTAATCCCTTGCTCCTCTCCGCCTCGCCTCGCCCCGCTCCGCTCCGCTTCAAACTCTTTTTTTATAGTGTATCCGCCCATCGTACGGAATCCTGTTGAATCAATCAGTCAATCAATATCTAACATAACACAACATAATATGCTGTTATTAATTAATTAATTAATTTATTTATCTATTTATTTTATTTTATTTTATTTTTTTGGATTGATTACAAACAACATCATGGAGCTTTTTTATTATCACGTGCAAATATCATTCATTCATTCATTCATTAGTAATCATTATATTGTTATTGTGTAAATACGACTACTACTACTACTACTACTAACAATAATAATAGTAGTAGTAATCATGATAATTAAAAATATCATCGCCTTTATCTATTATCTAACCACGTACACATAGACAAGAATGCATATAATTAGTGTTTCTTGTGTTGTGTGTTCGCCCAATTTTTGAATAATTCACCTGATTACAACAAGAGTGTGTTTGTGGGCGTGTGTGTGTGTACGTTCATGATTCTTTTTTTGTTCAACCGTTCAATTGACAATACCACATCTACGTGATTATCTCATTTGTTTGAAAAAGAAAACCGAACTTGAATGACTTATTTGTATGCGTATATGGACGTGTATAGTATTCTTATTAGCAATGGTGGCATCCTTTCTCTCACTGCCGTTGTCGTCTGATCAAAATGATTTTTTCTTCTCTTCTGTATTATGTTCATTCTGTACACACACGCACACCCACACAAACACAATGAATGGATGGATCTGAAATCAATTGCTTCCTCTCTCTATTATTATACACTCTTTACTTGTCGGTGATATGTTTATACTTGGACAGAAATTGTGTCATACTAATAATAATAGTAATAATTAAAAATTGGGTTTTTTTTATCTTCATCATTCTCACAATAAAATACTTCCTACTTTGCTAATCATTCTCTTTTTTATTTCACAAACAATCGAGAAGTGAAATTTCATTATATGTTTAGTACCAATATATATATATAAATAAGGATATAATCTACGAAGTACTTCTTGATAATTTATTCCCCCCCTTCTTTATTTCTCCCCGAATAGTAATAATAACACATAATTCTTTATCAATTCATGAATAGCTTTTGCTTTGAATGATACATTTGCTTACTATTTTTTTTCCTTTCTTCTAAACATTTTCATCCCATTCATTGCTTTCTTTTTTTTTGTTCACAGAGATGACAACATGATTTGTATTAAAGCATTGCGAGTCGGTAGATTATTAGGCAAATCATTCTTATTCGTAAAGTTGTCTTGTAGTGGTAGTAGTAGTATTAACATTCTATTTTTTACTGCTTGTGAAAATGTACACAATTCTTCATTTCTCCTTCATTCTGTTTGCTGTTAAATACTCATACTACTTATAAGTAGTTTGTTTTATTTTACGGATTTTCGTTGCCCGTTCTTCATATTCATACCATATTTTTATTTCTCTGTTTTATTGTGATGACACATTTTGTCAACTTGTAGTTCGGTTATCAGTTGAACTGATTCTCTTTAAAAAATCTAAATGGATTGTCTATTATTTGATGGCGTTTGTGTTTTTTTTTCGAAAACCATACTTACTCTCTCTGTTCACCTTTTTATCACATAAATGGCTTTCCGATTGTCTCCTTTTATTGAAATTCTATCGCCATTATCATCATAGTAGATAATAAAACGCACAGGTCGATTTATATCCTGAGCAAAACTATTATTATTCATCAACAGTAATTTTACTCGGTGCATTCTAAACCCTGCCTCCGCATCTTCTATGTAGGCTAATATTCTCTCCGTTTTTAGTCAATAAGCAAACACGATCCATTGTTCTTTTTTAAAAATTCTTTTTTAGTTTATCATATACATCACCGTCATTAAGACGTTGAAAGAAACCAGCTAACTAGAACATTTTCTTCACCTATTCAAGACATATATACATGTATGATTGAATGTACCGAGTGTGATGTCTTCTTGTTCTCCTAATTTTGCACACACACACATACCCAATCATATTCGTTCCTAGTGTTTTCATGAAATTAAGTGATGATTTTATTTTTCAAATTATTTCATATAATTGTGCCTTTTTTTTCTAAACACAAAAATCAATTATTCTCGCACTAGGAGACATTCTCTCTCTCTCTCTCTCTGCTCATTCTCAGACACAATGCTTATCTTCTTAGGTATCATCTAATCAAGCAAGTCATTGGTTTTTTTAAAAATTACTAAACTGTAGAAGTAGTTGTAGTATCTCCTATCTACTGTTTGTGTAATCGGGTTTTTTGTTTTCAATGAACACATTTTGCATTGATTGTATTTTCTTGAGTGTGTACTGATTTTATATACATATATACATTACATTGTTTACTCTTTTCTATATATTTAAACAACAGCTGGTTATGGTTTTAAGTGTTGAATATATATTTGTAGAAAGAGATACACTTACTTATTATGTATGTGTTCAGTTGTTTCTTTGCCTGTTTGCTTTGCTTGCTTGCTTGCTTGCTTTGATTTAGAGTTTACATTCTGCCCATACACATTTTAAACTACTACTACCACTACTGCTATAGTCATCATTAAATTTGTTTAGAAAAAAAAAGGCCTAACAAATGGTATTTCTTCTCCGGTGTGTTGTTGTTGTTTTTAACTGTTGCTTGCTTTCAACAAAAACTATCAGTTCTTGGAATTGTTTATTTGATTTTTTGTGAACATAAAGAGAAAAAAAACAGGAATTATTATTATTTTTTTTCAATTTGCTCACTGTTTCCTCAAAGTGTATTCCTTCGCCTTTGATTATATATATATACATAAGATGAACACATTGAGGCGAGAGAACAAGAGAGAGATTTATTTGTACTCGCTTCAATTCTGTGTGTGTGTGTGTGTGTGCCTCTTTGTACATAGTGATATATTTACTCTTGAACATTTTTAAATCTCTCTCTATCTGTGTGTGCGTTTACAACTGGGAAACTTTGTTTATTTCAAACGAGCACGCACACACAACAAGTAGACATTTTGATTATTAATTTTTTTTCTGTTCATTTCATTAAAACAAAATTCGCGTAATCCATGGGGTCGGTGGCGGTGATTGGCTGTTTTTTTTTAATTTTTCATCTTGAATTTTTTACTTGTACTTTGCAATTATTCTACTGATGACTTTTCTCATTCTTTTTTCTGTTTGTTTGTAAATGGCAGTTCGTTTAACTAGAAAAAATTAAACGGATTATTGAAAAGAAAAAATCAACTCATAATTGTGTTATTTTATATATACATATTACATATAAATATATAATACTGCTTTGTTTCTTTCATCCTGGTTTTGTTTTTTCTTAACAATCAGTGTACACATTTGGCATTGCCCTATTGATTCTCTTCTATACTGTGTGTGTGTGTGTTACTGCTTCCTTTATTTTTGGTTCTATTATGTTATAGTTATATATATATATACACTGATATACATATACGTATATATATATATATATATATATATATATATATCGATATTTCCTATGCTTATACATTGTTCTTGTTTTTATCTCTCTCCCCCACCCCGCCACATCTTACAGATCAGTAGTAGTAATAATAGTAGTAGTGGTGAAAGTAGTGATAATGATTATTCAAATAAAATATGCATAGATCAGTGTTTCATTAAGACTAGTGCAACTAAATGCATAGCTTTCTCCTCGTGCTCCTGCTCCACCGTTTTGCGAGAGGGACGGGAGTGTCGTTGTTCATTCACATTTGAATTACTTTTCAATCAATCAGTGTAAAGAGTAAAATAGGCAATTATTAATAATCATAATAATAATAATAATAATTGATAATTATGATTATCGATTATTTTTAAGCTTTTCAGTTTTTTTATTTATTTAAATCAAATCAACTCAGTCTAGTATACATGAATATATATATATATATATATATATATATATATATATATATTATATGCCTGATAAGTCATGATTACTTATTTTATTCACGTGTACTCTAAACCCAATCTCCCTTATTATGAAAAAAATGTGTAATACTCCTTTTATGTCTTGTGTACATACTATACATATATATATAAATCTATCTATCTATATACATAGACATATAATTATTCCTTTTCTCCACATTCTGATTTTGGGACGTACATAAGAATAAGAATAATAGTAATGGTCATTATTATTATTATCATGATTATTTCATTTGCATCCAGAGTGTCGTCGATTGTATAAAAAGACGGTATGATGTGTGTGACAGTGACAGTAATTTCTAGCTGACAATGTACATTTTTTTTCTACAAGAAGAAGAAGAAGCAGAAACATTCAACAAGTAGAATGTGGTGAAGCTGATAGAGTAGTAGTAGTAGTAGGACAAGCTATTAATTGTTCTCCTATTTTCCTCCTTGTTCTTGTTTGAGTAAAAAGTAAATGCAAAATGGAATACACCTGAGAGTACTTCTTTTCTCTCTCTCTCTCCCCTTTTCCTGTTTTCTCTCCCTTTTTTTGTGCTTTTCCATTGTTTTTTTTTGGTTTTGATTTTTTCAATTCTTTCTGTCAATATTAATTAAAAGAAAATACAATTTCAAATTTTATGCACACATTTGGATTTGATTTTTAACTTTCCTACTGTTGTTGTTGTTGTTGTTGCTATTATTAGTGAAGTTTGTTTTCTCACAACTTACTGGCACATACTGAACGTTATTTCATGGTGTTTGAAATTTGTCCTCAGCTAGGTAACTGTTCTTTCTGGAGTTCGGAGCCTAGCTTGTTACAGATGAAATCTCAGCATGCATACAGTACGCTCGGTTAGCTTTTGCAAACCTGCGTCATTTATGGCGTAGGCGAGATATCTGTCTACTGACCAAAGGACGAGTGTACGCCGCAGCAGTCCCCTCCGTCCTACTATATGGATGCGAATCATGGCCAGTCAGAGTAGAAGATATGCATAGGTTGCTTGTCTTCGATCATAGGTGACTCCGAAACATTGCTCATGTATCCTGAGACAACTGACTAAGCAATGCTGTTTTTAGAAAACGGGTGCTAGAGAAGGATGACTTGTCAGTAGATGAAATATTGAAACTTCATCAATTGAGGTAGTTGGGACGTTAGTCGCGTATACCTAATCACCGACTGCATTGCC